GGATCCTTTGTCTCACCAGCGGTGTTTGGTCATCGAGCGCGTGGAACTGAAAATGGCTACTCGACGGCGCGAACACCGCTGGACTTCCAGGCCATTCGGGAGCTCCGGTCTTTCCTTATTGTGGTTCCCCATCGGTGTTCGGTACTTGTGGCGGAACCAACCTCGCCACTATGCACTGGAGAAGCCTGGTTGCCCGCCTGCTGCCTTTAGACTATGGCCCCATGTTGCAACGCTTGATTTTCCCCTGCGAAGACACGAAAGCCGGGTCATTCGGTGCTTGCCCTGTTTGAGTGGTGATACCCCAGATAGCTATGCCATGGAGCCCATTCGTATGAAAAGACTATGGGAGAGACTTTGGCTCCATGGCAATTGATCTGTATGTGTGTGCTCTGAGCGCCATTCAGTAATAATGTGCGCTCAGATCTGAGCTATCTGGTGATATGTTGAATGTACCTGTTTTGTGCAATGGCTGCACAGTTATATATTTTTATGTGTTTTATTGTCTTTTGCTGCCATGTGTTCAATGGAGTTTTGCCTCTGACCTGGGAGATAACTGGATTACTTCCCAATTATCTCCAGGATAGAAGACTCTGTGGAACTGGTTTTGGGCAGAAAAGCCATGCTTCATTTGGTCACAAAGGACTTCGATCTGTCTTTTGAACCAATTTGGATGATTTTGACATATGTTTGTATTTGGAGTATGCTGATTCTGAAAATGTAGGTGAATGTGATGCATACTTTTCAAGTTATGAATAATGTGGAAAAACTGTATTTCTCTGGTTGTGATAATTGCATTACCCATTGTGTAAGGTAATTGTATCACAGGCAGAGGGGAGGATTTTGTGTGGGAGTGTCTGAGTGTTTTGTACATGTTTATTGGTTGTTTTCCAAAGCCTGTGGGTGGTACTAATGTGTAAGAATGTGTACATAAGAGCAATAAACCCACAGCTCTGGCAGATTCTGCTTAACCCTCAAAACGAAGTGTCGTCTCGTTATTGGGGGAATTGGATTGTATGATGACTGCCAGGAGTGTAAACATTTCGGTTTTTGCTGTTCAGCTGTTTCCAGTATTCGTGAGTTTCCTGTTCGGGAGTTGGAGAATTTGTGTAGTTTGCAGTTTGGGAGATTGGTGATTGCATTAGCGGTCTGTACATCTGAAAGTGGAATATCGCCTAAACGGTTTTTAACCTCTTGTGGGCAAAACGGTCCGTTACAGTACTTTTAGGCGAACTCGATGGCAAAGTGTATTTCGTGCGGCGTTCGGTTATTTATGCTGGGATCTGAGCGGTATTCTCACGAAATGTGCACTCAGACCCCAGCTATCTACCGAACGTCCATTCATTTAAATAACTCGAATATTATGAAAGACTTACCTGAACCACTCTACCTATCTGCTTTATTTACAAACCTGCTCCATACCAGCCTAAATAACCCTATATTCCTGCTTGACTTCCAACTTGCTTAATTCTATAGTGGACTCTAATTTATTATTACTTTGTGGCTACCTGCGTTACTCCTACATTGGATTTACAAACATTCCAACTTATATTGGCATCTATCATAAAAGACCTGTTCCTGCAGTATAACCTCTAATGCAAATAGACTGAACAACTAAAAACCCTTTATAACGAAATCTTTATCTTTCTATATAGTTCTGTTTAGTTGTGGTTTGTTTTCCTGTTACTTATTATTTCATTAATAGCTTTACCTCTCTCTCTCTTATAGGTCTCCCTGTTTCTTTATATCCTGTTCTGGGGCATATTGCCTGAATCCTTATTTCTCTCACGATTTGTACCTCTAATTTCTCTTATAGGTTTATCTTCAATCTCCTACCTATAACTTCATTTATAGCTTTACCTAACTTCCACTTTGGGCTTATTGTCTAAACCCTTTACTTTATAGCCTAGTAATTCTCACCTGTTATCTGTTTTTTCATTCTGTTTTCTCTCTCTCTCCAATTCCTGTAATTTCTATTATAGGATATCCTGTTCTTACTATAATGTCTAAGATAGAAAATAAAGACCCTGAAGTTAAAACCAGTGTCAGGCTCATCCCTGACCTGCACAAGATCATGACATCATCAAAACTACTTTATGCTCAATTTTCTGCCATTTAAGAGTTGAATTGACTTTGTTTCTGTTTATACAGCCCTATCCACACCTCCCCTGGCTGTGACTGACACCGTCTGCATTAAAAAAAGGTTTAATTTTCAATCAGATGTAACTTACTTTAAAAGTTTCTATCTCCTGCTCTGCAAATTGAGCTGTAATCACACACAGAAGCCTTCTGCAGGGTCTGGAAGCTAACAGAGCAGGAGATAAGACATTTTAAATGAAACATATTTTACAATAAAGGAAGTGTAAACATTAGATCTCACTCTACAGGAAGCCTTTAACCCCTTAAGGACAAATGACATGTCATAATTCCCTTTTATTCCAGAAGTTTGGTCCTTAAGGGATTAAAAGACCACTATAGTGCCAGGAAAACAAAATCAGTTTCCTGGCCCTATAGGGTCATTAGGTCCCCCCACCCTCGGGGCCCACATCCTGCTGGGCTGAAGGGGTTAAAACCCCCTTCAGCCACTTACCTTTCTCCATCGTTGTGCTCCCTCGGTGCTACGGAACTCTCCACCCCCTGCCGACATCAGATCTGAATGTGCATGCAAACCGCCCATAGGAAAGCATTACTCAATGAGCAAAAAAGAGCCGAACACATTCACAATATCAAACATGACACTATGAAACAAACAGTATCAAGGCACTTCCAGTCTTGCACTGGAACTAACTTTTTTTTTTTTTTTTAAATCTTTATTTTTTTCAGTGCAAAAGTTGTAATTAGGGGCACTTGCTGTGTTTAATTGTAGGAGGTGCCACGATGTTGAGCTGAGACGAGAGAGTTGAGTTGTCAAGTAAGGTTGCAGAGTTAGGGCAAGTTAAATTTGAGATGGGTAAAAGAAGCGTTTAGAGTTTGGTGGAGAAATGCTGGAGCTCAAGGCAGTTGAGGTTTCTGCAAGATTGGATTGGAGAGTTGAGGGTGGTGAAATTTGGGTACGGGGTATGCTAATGTCAAATGTTAGCAGATGGTGGTCAGACAAAGGAAATGGAACAGTGGAGAGATTAGAGATGGTACAGAGATTGGCGAAGATGAGGTCAAGTGTGTTTCCTGCTGTATGAGTTGCTGAAGTAGACAACTGTGTGAGGACAAAGGAGGAGGTTACAGAGAGCAGACGGGAGGCATCAGGACAGTTGAGGTTGTTGATTGGGATGTTAAAGGACCACTATAGTGCCAGGAAAACATACTCGTTTTCCTGGCACTATAGTGCCCTGAGGGTGCCCCCACCCTCAGGGTCCCCCTCCCGCCCGGCTCTGGAAGGGGGAAAGGGGTAAAAACGTACCTCTTTTTCCAGCGCTGGGCGGGAAGCTCTCTGCCTCCTCTCCTCCTCCGATCCGCCCCATCTGCTGAATGCGCACGCGCGGCAAGAGCTGCGCGCGCATTCAGCCGGTCGCATAGGAAAGCATTCATAATGCTTTCCTATGGACGCTTGCGTGCTCTCACTGTGATTTTCACAGTGAGAAGCACGCAAGCGCCTCTAGCGGCTGTCAATGAGACAGCCACTAGAGGATTTGGAGGAAGGCTTAACCCATTAATAAACATAGCAGTTTCTCTGAAACTGCTATGTGTATAAAAAAATGGGTTAACCCTAGAAGGACCTGGCACACAGACCACTTCATTAACCTGAAGTGGTCTGGGTGTCTAGAGTGGTCCTTTAAAGTCCCCAATATGCAGATACATAATTCTGTTTTCTAAATAATGTTGCAAACTGTTGTTAAACATTAGTTGTGTTTTTTTTTTTACTATTTACTGTTGCTACATGTAACAATGTTGCAACATTTTGTTTCAACAATAAGTACAACTTGTTTCAACAATACTGAAATATTCTTCCCAGTAATAAACACATTTGCAATGCAGCACCTCAATTGCACATTTTTCCTCTCCCAATAATGTACATTTATTTAATATCAGTAGAATACCTTTCCTTACAAGGAGCTTATATAAATATGCACACTTATACTTGACAACGTACTGCTAATATTTTTTCTAAATTTAAGACATTATGCTAATGCAATACCTGGTTCAGTATTATTGGAACAGGGAGCTGGATATTACATAGGAACTTCTGTTCTGGGAACTACTTCCCAGTGCATAATACTGATTGGCTCCCACATTTACCTAAATTCCTATTCATTCATTACTTACTCACAGATGTTAGTGTTCACATCATAAGGCAGCCTCGTTGTGGACATACTCAGTGTATATATCTCCAAAGCTCTCCAATTTCACTCATGTTGAGAAAGCACCAGGTGGGTGCGAAACACGTCCATGGTTACACTCTCATTTTTGGACAGGTAGTGGGGATGATTGTCTTCCTCAAATTTGGCAACTAAAAGGTATTATCATTTCTTTTCCATCTGTTTGGAACAGTGCTCATGTTTAGCAAGCATGTCACTTCTGACTGAAACTATTTTATTGTCACTGAACAACTGAACATCATACATTTGGCTGGACATACCTACATTCATGAAGATCGTGTATTCAGTTTTCTGAACTTTGCCATTTTTATTTTTCTGCCTATGACTGCTGCTATCTGTCAGTATATTTATACTGGCAGACATTTTGTGTTAAGACAGAAATTAAAAGTGTATACTGTAAGTCACCCTTAGGACAGACAGACAGAAGTTTTCTCTCTGTAGCTCTATTCACTCAAGTCTGAGCTAAGGAATGCGACTAATGTAAACAGAGATAAAATTTGAGATAAGGCATGATGTCTACAGCAGGGGGGATTTAACACAACAACCCAGAGACAAACATATATATACACACACACACACACAATATCCACATATAACTTACAGTCATTTTATTAATTATATATAAATAGTACTATATTAATAATATAGAATATTCATGGATATAATATCAACGAACAAATGTCTTATTTATTAACGTTAGTGGAATATGTGTAATAGACATGTATAAATAATATTACTACAGTTTCACACAAGAAAACCCGACATCAATGACAGATAAAACTAAGTAATTCATTTCAAATTTTAAAAAAACTGAATCTCACAAAGTTCTATTGTAAGGAAGAGTGAAATTAAGGTTAGGACGTGTCAGGAATCTAACGTAGAGCCAAAATTGCAGTCTTGTAAAAGTGTACCAAAACCTTTGCAAAGTGACATGTCTGTGACGAATAGGTATCATAAAAGATAACCAAGAAGATGTCAAACGCAACACGAAATTCAGTTAACCCATTATACAAAAAGGTAAATGGCCCTCCTGACAAGGATTTTCATGATATAGTTGCGCCATTACTAACCAAAATCTAGATGAAAGTATGTAGGGAAGACATGCCCACAGTTCTCTATTGGTCATATCAACAACTGACATATAGAGAGCTTCTCCTTTAAAAATTAAGGACAAAGGAAAGAGAGACACTCTGGAACTCTCAAATGCTCACAGTCAGAACTCAAAACTCTTAGACTCCAACACTCAGACTCTTTCAGACTCAGACACACTCTCTCTCTGAGAATGGACTCACATATTACATTGAAGATCTGACATCTGGAGCCAAAGTTGGACACACCTAATACTTTGTATCTTTTCCAACTAACACAACTTCAGAACTCTGAAAACTTTCCTATTTTCATACAATTCTCTCATCATACTTGCATTAAAATTCCTGGGACTTATCTACAAATCTGATAGAAAATCTACAACATAACTGGTAAGTATGCTGGTTTTATTTAATGTAATTAAAATAAATTAATTGATTTAACTAAAAGGCAGAATATACTTGGATAGAAACTGGTGATTCAAACATTTAAGCAGCCATGATTCGTTAATATATAGAATTCGTTGGAAGCAGACAACATGCAGTCTGTTCAAACGACAACCACAGACCCCATATATAAGCACTCCGAACAGCTCAGACAAATGGCTTACCACATCGAAGACCTGGACAACAGGGGCAGAAGGCAAAATATTAGAGTAAGGGGCGTCCCTGAATGCGCCACCAGCCCAGAGCCAGTCAAAGAGATCCTTAACTGTGTTTTCAACAAAATATTGGGCAGGCCCGAACCAACACAGATTGATTTTATTAGAGCACACTGCGCACTGCGCGCAAAAGGGGCCCCAGATGACCCCCCAAGAGCCATCAACTGCTGCCTCGCTAAATTTCAAATTAGGGAGGATATACTAAGGAGAGCGAGAGAAATGGATCACATACATGTGAACGGAGCAGAGGTCCAGCTGTTTCTGGACCTGTCCCCGGCCACGCTGGCCTACCGCAGGGCGATGCGCCCACTAACAAGGATCCTTCAATCAAATATGATAAGTTACCGCTGGAACTTCCCATCCGGTATGCAAGTCTTTACACCAACTGGACCTCTCATGGTGAGAGAGGGGGACGACCTAATTGAATTAACCCGGGAACTACAACTCCTCCCGGTCCAAATGCAGTGGCCTGATCCCTTGGCCTTTTACACATTTACCTCGACCCTCCCCAAATACCCCAGAGACAAAATCGGTCCCGCATGCAAGCCACGCGACCATCCGGGGCCTCGGCCTAAGCGGGAGAATGCAGGGCCTGGACCTGGGGCTCCCAGAGTGAGCCTTCCCGACCCCAAGACTTAATAAGGCGGGACACCCTGCCATTACCCAAGGATCAAGCGGAGACAAGGATTGTAACGGACCGTTTTGCCCACAAGAGGTTAAAAAACGTTTAGGCAATATTCCCCTTTCAGATGCACAGGCACAGCTACTGCAGAACACAAATCCGCCAAACAGGAAACCATATGAATGCCGTAAACAGCCGAATAGGAAAAACCATCCGAATAGGTTTACACTCCTAGCAGTCAAACTGGAACAGCATACAGTAAATCCCCGTGTTGAGGGTCAAGCAGTGAACAGCCAGAGCTGTGGGTGTATTGTTCTTATATACACATTAGTACCACCCACAGGGTTTTGGAACACAACCAATAAACACATACAATACACTCAGACACGCCCACACAAAATCCTCCCCTCTGTCTGTGATACAATTACCTTACACAATGGGTAATGTAATTATCACAAGCAGAGAAATACAATTTTTCCACATTGTTACATACATTTTCAGAATCAGCATACCCCAAATACAAACATACGTCAAATTCATACAAATTGGTCCAATGGTTCAAAAGATAGATCGTAGTCCTTTGTGACCAAAGGAAGCATGGCTTTTCTGTCCAAAACCAGTTCCACAGAGTCTTCTATCCTGGAGATAATTGGGAAGTAATCCAATTATCTCCAAGGACAGAGGCAAAACTCCATTGAACACATGGCAGCAAAAGACAATAAAACACATAAAAATATATAACTGTGCAGCGATTGCACAAAACAGGTACTTTCAACATATCCCCAGATAGCTCAGATCTGAGCGCACATTATTACTGAATGGCGCTCAGAGCACACAAATATAGTTCAATTGCCATGGAGCCAAAGTCTTTCCCATAGTCTTTCATTATACAAATGGGCTCCATGGCATTGCTATCTGGGGTATCACCGCTCAAACAGGGCAAGCACCAAATGACCCGGCTTTCATGTCTTTGCAGGGGAAAAAATCAAGCCTTTTAACATGGGGCCATAATCCAAAGGCAACAGGCGAGCAACCAGGCTTCTCCAATGCAATGTGGCGAGATTGGTCTTGTCACAAGGATCATACACGCACTCAGAAAAGACGACACTGGAGGGACACCTGGCTACGATCCAGTCTACGAGCAAGTGCCGGACTGTTGCCCGCAAGTATCACAACCCCCGACCCACTTAATTTGATGTAACGGGACCAACCTTGGTAGACAGGCTAATATCAGCTCAGATATGGAGGTGGGGGGCAGGAAATACCTACCAGATGGGACTTGTAAATCTTTAAGATGGCCATGATAACTAAACGGAGGGAGGGGGTAACTGGGTCATGTTTATTGTTCACATGCTCACGATGTACTACTGTGCTTGTAATATATGACTGGACGGGCCACTCACTCCGGCTGCAGCGGCTTGCCGCGTGCCGCAGAGGGCTGAAGATCGGCGTGTGAGGCGCCATACTCTGTGAGAGGACCTGCGGGGACCTGTGCCCTGACCGGGCCTGGCCTGGGGAGACACCCGACCTATGTGTGATGACCCGGATAGGAGAGTACGTGGGGGGGGGGGCAAATCTGGCCGGGCCCGGGCTCCCGCACGGGGGGGGGCAGACTGGAGCCATTATACATAAGAAAATGTACTGGAGTGAGGGGAGGATTGGGTGGGAGGACGGGGGCTGCAGGGATCCAGGCACACACCACGGCTGAGTACCAATGTTATGGTTTCCTGGTTTCTTTCTGTTAAAATGTTCAAAGTTTACTTATTGTTTACACAAAACAAAATTACATAGACCTGTCATGCACCATGTCCAAAGAGGCCTCAGGGCCACAAATCAAGAGACGAGGAACACAAAGACCACATACATGCACAATGAGCCAAATGGGGATGACATCAGAGGCAATACAAGGGACTTGGAGGGTCTAGGACCTGATAGACCCCACTCTCACACACGCCGCATAAAGGCTTGCAATCTCCTACTACTCCCTCAGAAGACAGAGCAAACCGTACTGGGCAGGTAGTTACCCTGACTCCCTGGTGGATTGGTGACTTGCCACTCCCCAGACGCTCATACCTAGACAGAGCCTTAAGAGGCACTGGTTCAATCTTAATTTACCCGACTCCCCCACTTACCCGCAACCTACCCGACTTCTCTCCCCTTTCCCCGACCCCCTGGGGTCACTGCCTAAGACCATGTCACTACACCCGACAGACCTCCACATTCGTACAATAAACGCTAGAGGACTGAATAAGCCTGAGAAATGCTCAAGCGCCCTAAGAGACTTTCACAACGTTAAAGCGTCTATTGTATATATTCAGGAAACACACTTCTGAGCAGGATCTAGGCCCAAAATGACAGACCACCGCTACACTACCGGATACTTTAGCAACCATAGCACGGGCAGGTCGAGAGGGGTGGCTATCCTTTTGCACAAACGGTTCCCGTTTCGGGAAGAGGCAACATTAACTGACCCAGAGGGGAGGTTACTGTTCTTGAAGGGTACGATAGCGGGGTCAACCTATACTTTTGCTAATATATACGCCCCCAACCAGAGGCACTATAGGTTCCTAACCCGTACTTTACGAGAGCTACTGTCCTTCACAGAGGGCATTTTGATCCTGGGGGGGACTTTAACCTGGCCATGGACCCAAAATGGGACTTGTCCTCCAGAACATCACAAGTCCCGCCACAACACTTGACACAGATCAGGGCCCTCCTCAGACGCTCGCAGCTCCTGGACTGCTGGAGGGCTCACCACCCGGATGAGAGGGATTATACATTCCTATCCCACCCACATAACACATATACACGACTGGACTACTTTTGTATGACCCACTATCACCTGACCCTAGTAAGAAAGGTGGAACATGGAACCGCGACGTGGTCAGACCACGCACCGGTCTCCCTTCACCTGACATCCCCACTGTATAGACCCAAGGTCTCCAAATGGAGACTGAATGAATACATGATTTCCCTACCGGACGTTATCACAGAGACAAGTAAGGTACTGGGAGACTACTTCACCGACAACACCACAGACCAAACATCACCCACACTTATCTGGGAAGCACACAAATGTGTGGTAAGGGGCTACTTAATACAAAAAGGGACCTGGCTAAAGCGCCAAAGGGAGGCACGCATCACAGCAATTATACAGCAATTATACAGTTGCAAGAAAAAGTATGTGAACCCTTTGGAATGATATGGATTTCTGCACAAATTGGTCATAAAATGTGATCTGATCTTCATCTAAGTCACAACAATAGATAATCACAGTCTGCTTAAACTAATAACACACAAAGAATGAAATGTTGCCATGTTTTTTTGAACACACCATGTAAACATTCACAGTGCAGGTGGAAAAAGTATGTGAACCCCTAGACTAATGACATCTCCAAGAGCTAATTGGAGTGAGATGTCAGCCAACTGGAGTCCAATCAATGAGATGAGATTGGAGGTGTTGGTTACAGCTGCCCTGCCCTATAAAAAACACACACCATTTCTGGGTTTGCTTTTCACAAGAAGCATTGCCTGATGTGAATGATGCCTCGCACAAAAGAGCTCTCAGAAGACCTACAATTAATAATTGTTCACTTGCATAAAGCTGGAAAGGGTTATAAAAGTATCCCCAAAAGCCTTGCTGTTCATCAGTCCACGGTAAGAAAAATTGTTCAGGACTGCTGAAATGGAGAAAGTTCAGGACTGCTGCTACTCTCCCTAGGAGTGGCCGTCCTGTAAAGATGACTGCAAGAGCACAGCGCAGACTGCTCAATGAGGTGAAGAAGAATCCTAGAGTGTCAGCTAAAGACTTACAAAAGTCACTAGCAAATGCTAACATCCTTGTTAGCGAATCTACAATACGTAAAACACTAAACAAGAATGGATTTCATGGGTGGATACCACAGAGGAAGCCACTGCTGTCCAAACAAAACATTGCTGCACGTTTACAGTTTGCACAAGAGCACCTGGATGTTCCACACCAGTACTGGCAAAATATTCTGTGGACAGATGAAACCAAAGTTGAGTTGTTTGGAAGAAACACACAACACTATGTGTGGCAAAAAAGGCACAGCACACCAACATCAAAACCTCATCCCAACTGTGAAGTATGGTAGTGGGGGCATCATGGTTTGGGGCTGCTTTGCTGCGTCAGGGCCTGGACGGATTGCTATCATCGAAGGAAAAATGAATTCCCAAGTTTATCAAGACATTTTGCAGGAGAACTTAAGGCCATCTGTCTACCAGCTGAAGCTCAACAGAAGATGGGTGTTGCAACAGGACAATGACCCAAAGCATAGAAGTAAATCAACAACAGAATGGCTTAAACAGAAGAAAATACGCCGTCCGAAGTGGCCCAGTCAGAGTCCTGACCTCAACCCGATTGAGATGCTGTGGCATGACCTCAAGAAAGGGATTCACACCAGACATCCCAAGAATATTGCTGAACTGAAACAGTGCTGTAAAGAGGAATGGTCAAGAATTACGTGCACGTCTGATCTGCAACTACAGGAAATGTTTGGTTAAAGTCCGCCTGCACTGTGAATGTTTACATGGTGTGTTCAATAAAAACATGGCAACATTTCATTCTTTGTGTGTTATTAGTTTAAGCAGACTGTGATTGTCTATTGTTGTGACTTAGATGATGATCAGATCACATTTTATGACCAATTTGTGCAGAAATCCTTCTCATTCTAAAGGGTTCACATACTTTTTCTTGCAACTGTACATGACATAGAGGCAATAGACGAAGCCAACAAAAAAGACAGACGCCCAGACCAACAGGCAAAACTGCTTCAACTTAGACGGCCTCCCGCTCCGCTATTACAAATGCTTCGCAGAGAACCTATACCCACCGATGCTGGCCTCCTTTAACATAATTAGAGAGGGACACCATCTGCCCACACAGGCTATAACGGCACACATCACGATCATACCAAAAGAGGGTAAAGATGGAGAGCAGTGTAGCAACTATAGGCCTATTTCCCTTATTAATTGCGACCTGAAACTCCTAGCGAAGATACTGGCTACTCGCCTGCAGCCACACATCCCGGCCCTGGTCCATTCGGACCAGGTGGGGTTCATGACGGGGCGCGAGGCTAGAGATAACACTATCAGAGTACTGTCCATAGTCCACGGGAGACTAGTTGGACGTGGAGGCTTTCTCCTGCTATCTACAGATGCGGAGAAGGCCTTCAACAGGATCGGGTGGACCTACCTGTTGCAAGTCCTCTAGAAACCTAGGCTTAAATAATCACAACTCACACAACCGAAGGAACAGGGGGGTCTGGCACTACCAGACTTCCACCTATACCACGTGGCATGCCACCTCCTGCGAGTCCTGGAATGGACGAAATCCAATGTACACAAACAATGGAAGGACATAGAGGAAGCGGACCTCAGGAAACCCATAGTCTGCATACGTGAGGACCACCCTCCAGATGTGGCACAAGACGGCAGACCGATGTGGCCTTACCCCACACCCTTCCCCATTACTTCCCTTAACATATAACACAAACTTTCCACCAGGATTGGACCCCCTGGCGTTTAGAGACCTCCTCGCAGACCCACTGCCCAGACTACACCACATATGCACACAGAGGGGACGGAGGGTCATATCTGATATAGAAGGCGATCACGCCCCGACTTTCACACAAACGTACAAATACACCCAACTGACTAGCTTCCTTAAAACCTTACCACAGGGCAAAGCACTACAACGCGCCCCCACAGAAATTGAACAGCTCTGCCTCGACCCAGAACCCCTCCCCCACAGGATATCCACCCTATATACCACAATGCAGAGGTCAACCCCAGTAGAGGAGCCCAGGTTTATAGGAAAATGGGAAGCAGCTTTAGCGATAACGAATGGGGGAAGATATGCTTACTAGCACACCACTGCGCAGTATTTAGCAAACAACAAGAAACAGCATATAAGCTACTCACATACTGGTATTGTACCCCAGACATCCTACACAAGATGTACCCAGACCACCCAGCACAATGTTGGAGATGTGGGGCCTTGGAAGGGACCCCAGTACACATTTGGTGGGATTGTGGAAAGATAAAACCCTTCTGGCAGGGGAAAGACAGAATGCTACAGATATTTGCAGATCAGCCACCCCCTCTCGACCCTGCTGCAATGCTCCTCCATAATACCACCACACCAAGTAACAGGTATAAAAGATCAATCACAGGATATTCAACGTAGCCAAACAACTCATCCCACAACACTGGAGGAGCATGGACGCACCCACATTAGACAAATGGTTTACCCAAATGGAAGAATTAAGGGCGACAGAAGACATACATATGAAGTCTTCTGACAAAACACAAAGATACCTTGACACATGGACACACTGGATACTGACAACGGCAGGGGAGAGATTTGCGGACAAACTCCAAGACAGAGGGGGACCCCAGTAAACCCCCCAAATATCACACTGACAGAGATAATAAAGCAGGAGATACATAACCTGACTACAAATCCAGCTCCCTCCCAAACTCAGGACCGAACAAGACAGGGACAGTCTCACAACCCCTACTACCCTTCCCACTTCCCACACCATGTTGACATATACACTACTCCACACCCCACAAACTGAACTGCGTGAAAAAGAGCTACCATTAGATGCAAACTATCAGTTCATGACCTACCCAACACCAGACACGCACATACAAAATTATTCTTATGTATATCGGTAAACTATCGGAAGGGACCTGCGAGTCCCAGGTAGATAACATGATGTTTAACCACTAAAGACCTACGATCCAGAAAAAATGGAGGCCACTTTTGGTCCTCCACTTTTGGGGACCTGCATGTCCCAATTTGTATCTTGCAACCTATTGAAGGGGAAAAACAATAATAAAAAAATATATTTAAAAAAAAAACAAAACTTTAAAAATAGAATACCATGCAATTATCCAGATATATTAGCTTATGCCATTTAGAAATAGTGAATCTTAATTAGGAAGTTAAAATTCTGCAAACATAAAATCTGGTTAGAATTATTCTTATTGGATGGACATAGGAATGAACAATGATATAGTATGTGAGATATTGTAGTTGTAAAATTGCAATATAAAAGGATATCTTGCCTATGAGAATAGTAGCTAGCAGTGAAAGAGTTAATTCAGTGCAATTTGACTGTCAGCCAAAGTTTTTATTGCTTTAACCCCTTAAGGACCAAACTTCTGGAATAAAAGGAAATCATGACATGTCACACATGTCATGTGTCCTTAAGGGGTTAAAGGACCACTATAGTGCCAGGAAAACATACTCGTTTTCCTGGCACTACAGTGCCCTGAGGGTGCCCCCTCCCGCCCGGCTCTGGAAAGGGGAAAAGGGGTAAAACTTACCTTTTTCCAGCGCTGGGCGGAGAGCTCTCCTCCTCCGTTCCGCCCCGTCGGCTGAATGCGCACGCGCGGCAAGAGCTGCGCGCACATTCAGCCGGTCGCATAGGAAAGCATTTACAATGCTTTCCTATGGACGCTTGCATGCTCTCACTGTGATTTGCACAATGAGAAGCACGCAAGCGCCTCTAGCGGCTGTCAATGAGATAGCCACTAGAGGCTTTGGAGGCTGGATTAACCCTATTATAAACATAGCAGTATCTCTGAAACTGCTATGTTTATAAAAAAAATGGGTTAAGCTGAAGTGGTCTGGGTGCCTAGAGTGGTCCTTTACGCTGTTCTGCTGTGAAATGCTGTGTTCTGTGTTAGGTTGATTTCAAAGTGAAGTGTCCTGTCGTTAATCTTGTTGAAACTGCATACATGTTGATATAACTGTTACTATTTAGCTGTCTGTAATGGTGTTGAACTACTGCCATATTGTATAATTATGTTATACCTGATTAATTACGGATTATTGTCACACATGTTACATATATTATTATAACAATAAATTATATTTTTATAATTAACTTGTGATTAATGTGTGAGATAAAATCTTCTAATGAAACTTACTCCAGGATCTATGAGAATTAAAATAGTAGGTAATTCTCAGCTTTAAATCATTAATCGGGGAAACAGTGCCAAGATATCAATTTTTGATATAATAAAAATTATCAAATTAATTTTTGATAATTTTTATGAAAGTTATTTTAATATTTATCACCCTATAAATATCCTCACATATCTTACGAGTACGGTGCTCCAGGCTGTCGTTTTATATGACCAGCCCATTTGTTGCCATTGTTTTGGGATCTTGCTATATCCCCACTGTATACTGCAACTAGAGGTCAGGAAAAACAGAAATTCGACTTACCGTAAATTATTTTTTCCATAATATAGTGGCAGTATAATATCCTCCCTTCATCTGATAATAAATGTATATGTTTGCATTTAAGCAGGTCTCTGGGGTTTTCTCCAGATATTTACTGAGGGAGTAAAGAAGGATTCCACATTTATAAATGAAAGAGGAAGAATTAAATTTATTTTATTTTTTTCAATCTGCTTGTCCCGCTAAGAAATACAGACCCCACTGTATACTGCCCTTATATTCAGGAATTTATGGTAAGTAAAATTTCTGTTTTCACCAGTTTATTTACTTTTTTAAACATGCCTTTCTGCAGGGTATTTTGTAAATCTGATGTTGGGCTGATTTTAGCAGTTTGACAGTTCAATTCCCCCATGAAGGCCTACCATTTGTGAAGGTAGGAATTCTAGGGTATCTTATATGGTGTGTATAGCACCTTATCATATCTCCATTGTATTTATTCATTTATGTAAACATTTGTGGTGAGAGTTTCCTATAGACAAGCATTGCAGACACAGTGAGGTGATGGCAATATATGCATCATGTCTCCCAGTGTTTCTCTGTGATAGTCACTGGATCAGCCAGAAAGAACCGTTTTATTTAGCGGTATTGTGGTGGAGGGGTGGGGGGAAGAAATCTAAACTGGATAAACAACAACACTTCTTTATTAGCCTGGAGTGCTCCTTTAAGAAAGACAATTTGTTGAGACATTATAACTGGTAACTTCCCCTATGTAAAGATATTTAGTTTAGATTAAGCTGGGTAAAATATTTTTTTTACTTTAGCTTTGTATAAAATTAAGAACACTGTAACAAAATGCCTTTTGTCACTGGATTTTTATATGACCAACTTCCCTTTGCCCCTGGCCGTTGGAGGAGCCTGATTGCCAGCCTCTTCCCTCATGACTATGGCCCTGGGGTGTATTTCCATTTGAAAAGACTGTTTGGGGGTTATTGGCTTCTAAAAGACTGTTTCTGCCCATTTGTATTGTTCCAGCAGGGCGTTGTCCCAGGCACATTGCCAGACCAGTTGGAACTTGCTGTTTTGCCCCTCCTCGGTCTCTCATCAGCTCTTGCTATGTTTTAACCCCATGGCGATTTGACTATATTTGTGGGATCTGAGCGCTGTTCGGATATATATGTGGGGGTTCTGTTAAGTATAATAGGAATTATGTATTTTTATGTGTTTTTACTGTTGTTGTGAATAGAGCTATATTCTGTATGCTGGAGGTAATTGGCTTACCACATCCAAGCCATGCTAGCAGATGGTCACAAAAGGGACTTTCAACTAACTTTTGACCCACTGGACCAATTTGTATGATTTTGACATATGTTTGTATTTGGAGTATGCGGATTCTGGAAATGTAAGTACATTTTATGCGAATGTGATGTATACAATTAAAGTTATGAATATTGTGTAAAACTGTGTATTTTCCTGCCTGTGATAATTAAGTTAGCCCATTGTGTTCTGTAATTATATCACAGGCAGAAGGGAGGATTTTGTGTGGGAGTGTCAGTGTATTGTACGTATTGATTGGTTGTTCTGCAAAACCCTGTGGGCAGTACTATGTGTGTAAAATGTGCATAAAAACAGAGTGTTTGATTAAAAGCTTCAGTTCTACTTCACCCTCAATTTGGAGTGCCATCTCTTATTGTGGGAATCTGCTACAAGGGATTGCTATGCTTGTCATACTCCCTTGCCAAATCACTACTAAGCTCTTGTAAGAGCTTGTTCCTGTCCTGCTCTCTGAAGGAGTCTACGGTGGTTATGGTGTCTGCTGGAGTGCTGTAAACCCTCAGGAAGTGCTAGGAGCATCCTTCAACGGAGGTACCCAGTCGGGGTGCCCATCGATCTGTTACAAACACTAACAGGGCTTTCTACTAAATGGAGAATTCAAAGTGACTTTCAAATTTAAGGCCACAGTACCTAAACTGAAAGCATAGTTGACTTATGAAATGTTATAATTTCAGCTATTGTTTACCTTGAAGGGGGAATACATGCACTATGACTAATTCATCTCATTAAAGTTGTTATAGTGTCTGGAGTGCCCTGGCACCGCCATTCCATTCATTGTTAAACGATTTTTAATGTTAAATGACAGTCTCGGGCAGCCAATCCGTTTTGCTTTTGAATTGGGTGAGGGTGTCAGCGGACTGCTTTCAGCATATTACATTGGACTTTACTGGTATGAATTGGTATGGCTATCCATATGTGACGGTAGTATACGGTATCACCGTCAAGCATTCCCTTCTTTCCATAAAAGACAATCACCCAGTACTCCACAAGTAGAAATAGCCCTGGAATCGCCGAATAATCCACACATGAGCCAAAGCTTAATGCTGGAACAAGATTGATTTACTGGCACACAAGACACACAATTTATGTGATACAAAACTCCTCCTCTGGGCCAGGCTAGATAATAGAGTTTCAACAATACACAAAGCTCAATTATCTGCTGGCCAGAAATATTATACAGTTTAACAATTTTCAGAAAAGTACTTTCCATAATACATATAACTATAATTTTAACATCCCTGGGTAGCTGAGGATACTGATATTCACATGTCCAAATCTCACGAATTTCCATTCGGTAGTTTCCGTGTCGCATCGTGTAGAAGTTTTGACCGGCTCGCCATGTGGAGGTATTCGAGTTCCATAAAGTCAGTAGCAAGAGCCGGTCTCTGTTCGCGTCCAACTACACAAAAACTACAGTTCACATGGTACAGCTACTTACATGCGAAAGTTCCCCTCGTTCAGTAGATTCTATCTACCGAATGCCAGTTTGATTCGTGGACTTCCAGGACTTCCATGAAGACCGGGCGTTCGCATGTTTGCCTTGCCTAAAATAGTTCCAGGAAATTCATGCGTACACCCCGCTGACCGCGTTCGTGAGTTTTAAGATGGCCACCATCCTTTGTTCTCGCCACGTGTTCGTATGCCGAATGGCGGCCTCCTAGTAGTAATTAAGTTGCGGTTTTCTCCACTTTCTACAGCTGACTGCTACCCAGGGCGGGTGGTCTCTCATTCGGGAGACTAATACAATTTTAAAATCATATTTAAGCAAGGATTCACAAGTATTTGGAGAGCAGGGAGAAGCTACAACTGAAGGCATATATGTAAGTACAGGAGATCCTTCACACCATACCTTCTGCGTGTGAGGATGACAGCAGTCTGTGGGGGACCAGGGACTAATCGTTAGTGTTAAACCACTCAAAAAATACTTATATACACTGAATGAAAGGACAAGGACAAGAGACTGCAGGCGCTATAACCAACTCAAGCCAGATGAAATTGTTAGAATGCTTACAGTCTCCCTTTAGATTTGAAATTTACTAGGAATAAGTGGGGGGACTGATTAACAGCCAAACTGTATGCAAATTAAGTGTTATGTTCTAATACAGGGATTTAAGCCCCATTCTACCCTTAGGCAATAATGGAGTGCTCTGTGAAGCATCTTCTGGCCAAAGGTCGTTGATAAACTCCTCCCCCATTCTCTTCCAGAGCAATCCCTCGTCCCCCAGGAGGCACTCTGGTTCTGTTAGATCCTAAGGGATTGACTGAGGGAGGTGTGTCCAGCAGAATGAAGTCCTAACCTGTCAAAAGCCCTGTGCATAACACATTCTCTCTCTTTAAATTTCCTCTCCTCACCCCCTCCCAATTATACACACCCTCTTACTCTCAGCTGATGATCAATGGAGTGGTAACTGTATCACGTGTCTATGCCGGTTTCATTATGTTAATATAGTTTACTTTCCATTCAATCAATGACTAGCTTTGATAGCAACACATACTAGCCTAATTCAAACGTATATGTATTGTTTATTAGTTTGAATTGTTAAACACAAGCAGTGTGGACTCTGACTTTACGCTAGGTTTTTCAGTTTTTTGGTTTATTAATTCCATACATTTACTACAATCTGTATGAATCCTGACATATAAGAAGTCTTACGTTTACAAAAAATATTTTTTTATGTTCTAAACAAGAGGATGAATTTTTTTTTTTTTTTGTTGTAAATTTCTTTTATTCAAAGAATTTTCATTTTATGCATAAACAGTGTCGCGGACACGCAGGTCCAATAAAGGCTTTTTCAATTCAAGTCTCATGCAAGTCATCAAACAGTCTATAGAAACATTCTAGTTGTCTCGTAGGTCCTAAAAACCTTTGTGTGGATAGGGCTTTCCCTCTAGCGTACGGTTGTTGTGGCTATGCTAGGCCACCTAGTGTGACAGAGGTGGTTTGTGTCTTGTGCCAAGACAGGTAGTGTGTAATGACCCACCGTATGGGGGAGAAACAGGATTTTGTGCGTGCCTTGCGAGTTCAGTTCTAGGATCTTTGGTGACGGTGGGGTGGACCCCTGTTAATCTGGCTGGGGCGGAGGTGGTTTGTACGGTCTTAATCCTGTCTGCTCATTAACTCCCGCGTATGACGTGGGTGCAAAGTTGAGCTTGTTTCCCCTTGTCTTATCCTTAACCGTGAACCCCTGTCTCTTTTCCTGTTTTACCTGTCTTATTCTCTTTTCTCCTTCCTTCTAGTCCCCCTTATCCCTTTCCCTTTCCTTTCCCTCTCTTTTTACTCTTATCTTTCCCCTTCCTGTTCTTTTCCTTCCCCCTTTGCTACCCTTATCTTTTCCCTCTCTTCCTTTCTTTGCTTAGAGGGTGCCCGTCCGTTCGGAGCCTCTACGTCCTATGAACTTCTCTACTATGTCGCCTTCCCGCCCGCGGGTTCCCTCAGGGGGGGGACGGGTGAGTGGGGGGGCGAGCAAGGGGGGGGTAGGAGGGGGCGTTTTATTTATTATGATGTTGTTTCTGGTATTTTTCCTGTTTGTTTGTGCAGTTGCTCTCTCAGTCAAGGTAGTCTTTCGTCCCGTCAGGTGTCTTCAGTCAAGTCAACAGATCCTGGAAGTCAGCGTTAGTCGAGGTCAGTATCCAGTGTGTCCAGACCGTCATGTACGTCTGGGTCCTCCCCTCTGGCAGCAGGGAGAGCTCTTCCAGTGCTCTCAGCTCCTCCATTCTTTGGTACCACGTCCCTAACGGGGGCGGGCATTGGTTTTTCCAATAGAGGGGGATTAGTCTTTTGGCTACATTAAGTATCCGTATGGTTAAGGATTTTTATATGTCGATGCTTTTGTCTTGGTGTGATGGATGAGGAATGTTGCGGGGTTCATGGGTGGTGGGGAGTCTGTGAATCTTTTTATGATCGTGTGAATGGCTGACCAATATGGTTGGATGATTGGGCATTCCCACCATATGTGGAGGTTTGTTCCCTTGTGTGTGTTGCACCTCCAGCATACGTCGTCATTCGTGGGGTCGTATAGGTGTGTGTGGAGTGGGGTGCGGTACCAAAGGGCCAGTATTTTGTATGCTGTTTCTTGCGTTCCGCTGGATGGTGCGCAGTGTAGTGAGAGGGTGCATATTTTGTCCCATTGGTTGGGTGTGAATGTGGTGTCTAAGACTGTTTCCTATTTCCCCATGAAGCTCGGGGGTGGTAGCCTCCTCAACCGCATGATCATTCCATAGAGCGTTGATAGGCACCTCGGCAGCGGGTCTGGGTCCATGCATATCTCTTCAAACGTTGTTAAGGGTCTGAGGGTGTGGTTGTTTCGGGTGGTTTCTTGTATAAGCCCTTTCAGTTGTCGGTATCTGAATTGGAGCATAAATGGGTGATCAGAGTTCCCCGTCACGGCCTCTAGTGATTTGAGGCGACCATCGTCCATGGTGTGGAAGAGCCTCGGTATGTCTTGTCCCAGCAGCTAGACCAATGTTCTTGGTTCCCTTCCTGGTGGGAAGGCCTCATTATGGACTAGGGGCATCATTGGGGATGGTGTGGAGGTGAGCGAGAGTGGTACTGCCAGAGCTTGCCAAACCCGCACAGTCGCTTTGATTAGGGGATGTGGGGCAGCTAGCTGTCTGCTTTGTTGGGGGTCTAGCCAGGGAAGGACTGCCATCGGTCTCTCCACCAGAGAAGACTCTACATCCTTCCAAAGTTTCTCCACTCCCCGTTTAGACCACTCCACTATCCTCTGGATGTGTGTGGCTCTATGGTATCTCTTAAAGTCTGGCAGAGCTAGGCCTCCCTTGGCTTTCGGTAGTGTGAGCACGTCATGTTGTATCCTGGCCTTCTGTCTCTGCCAGGTGAACCGGAGGGCCATCGATCTAAGGGAGGTAAAAAATGCCTCCGGTATGGTCGCGGGGATAGCCTGAAACAGGTAGAGGACCCTCGGTAGGATGTTCATCTTGAGCACTCCCACTCTTCCAAAACATGAGAGGCGAACCTGGTTCTATTCCTGCAGGTCCTTCTGTATAGTGGTCAGGAGTGGTTGGAAGTTCTCTGTGTACAGTTGGGAGAGGTCGTTTGTTAGCACCATGCCGAGGTATTTCAGGGAGGTGGCGGACCATTGAAATGGCAGCGCCCGTGCAAGGGCTGTCGCTCTGGAATCCGAGACCGAGACATTGAGGATCGTGGATTTGTAAAAATTGATTTTAAAGTTCGAGAGCTCCCCGTACTTTTCGAATTCCTTCAATATCGTGGGCATGGATGTTTCCGGTTTAGTTACGAAGAACAGTAGGTCGTCCGCATATGCTGCCACTGCGTGTTTCCCCCCTCCTGTCTCCAATCCCGGGATATACGGGTTGTTTTGGATCGAGTTCAGGAATGGTTCCAGGGCTAGCACAAAGAGCAAGGGGGATAGGGGGCAGCCCTGTCTGGTTCCATTCCTGATCACGAAGGGGTCTGTGAAGGCTCCATTTATGCAGATCCGTGCTGTTGGTTGCGAGTACAGAGCTCTAAACCAGGACATCATGCAAGGCCCCATCCCCAGCTTTTCGAGGACCTGGAACATGAAGTCCCATGCGATCCTGTCGAAGGCCTTCTCCGCATCCGTGGAGAGCAGGAGAAGGCCTTCCTGTCTGGTTTTTGCGAGGTGGATCAGGGAAAGGGCTCTGATCGTGTTATCTCGCGCTTCTCGGTGCGGGGTAAATCCCACCTGGTCCTTATGTATCAAGTTCGGGAGGTGGGCCTGAAGTCTCTGTGCGAGTATCTTTGTGAAAAGCTTCAAGTCGCTATTCAACAGTGAGATGGGGCGATAGTTCGCACATTGTTCAGGATCTTTCCCTTCTTTAGGTATTAAGGTGATGTTAGCCGCCAAGGTTTGTGTCGGGAATATCTGCCCTTCTCGGATCGCGTTGAGTGCAGTCGTGAGGCGTGGGACGAGGAGTTCCGCAAAGGTTTTATAATAGCGTGCTGGTAGGCCGTCAGGCCCGGGGCTCTTGCCTGTCTTGGCCGTTTTGAGAGCCCATGCTACCTCGTGTGTCTCGATCGGTTCGTCTAGCTCTGCACTTGCCTCCTGTGAGAGGCAGTTGCCGATGCGCGGTTCTAGGTAGTCTGTTATCCGCGTCTTCCTTTCTGTACTCGCTCCCTCTCCCCTGGGTGGGTCGAGTGAGTATAGGTCCGCATAGTACGCCCGAATAGTGTTGGCCATCTCGGTCGGCACACTGTGCAGGTTCCCATCTCTGTCTCTGATCCCCGGGATGTAGGCTGCCGCTCTCTTTTTGGCGATCATGCGGGCAAGGAGGGCACCACATTTGTTAGCGTTGGTGTAGAAGAACGCTTTGGAGTGTAAGTATGCTCTATGGTGATTGGCATTCAGGATAGAGGAGAGTTCCCTCCTGAGTACCGTTAGTTGTGTCCAGTCTGCTATCAGGTGGGTTTGTTTATGTCTACATTCCAAAGTCTGTATGTCCTTAATTAGAGTTTTAAGTCTGGCAGTTTTGGCTTTTTTAAGCGCGGCGCTTTTCGCTATGAAGTGGCCCCTTATTACGCTTTTATGAGGGGTGACCTCAGACGTATCGTTTTCTGTAAAGTATTGCGTTAGTCTTTCCCTGACTTCTGCCGTTACTGTTAGGTCGTTTAAGATCGATTCGTTCAGTCTCCAGTTACTGCAAGTGGGCCTATAGAGTGGGGAGGTTAGTGTCATCATGATTGGAGCATGGTCTGACCATGTCGCTGTTCCAATGTCAGTTCGTCTAACCTCAGACAGGTAATAATGTGGAATGAGGAAATAGTCTATTCTAGAGTACGTTCTGTGGGGGATGGAGTAGAAAGTGTAGTCTCGGTCTTCAGGGTGTAAAGCTCTCCAGCAGTCTACCAGACGTTTCTCTCGTAGCGTTTTCGATATGTTTGTTAAAATGTGTTGGGGGGTCGTAGAGAGGCCTTTGGATGTGTCTATGGTCGGCGTCAGGGCCACATTGAGGTCCCCTCCAACGACCAGACAGCCCTCCGCGAAGCCCTCTATCGTTCTAAGTGCTGTGCGTAAGAATTGGTGTTGGCGTTTATTGGGGGTATATAGGTTCGCGAACGTGTATGTGCGGTTTGCAATTGTGCCTTTGACACAGATATACTGTCCGTGGTTGTCTCGCAGTGTGTCAGTGGGGGCAAAGTGTAGCGATCTATGGATCAGTATTGCTGTGCCTTTGGACTTTCCCTCTGGGTTATTACTCAGGAAACATTGTGCGTACTGTTTGTCCGTCAATCTGGGCACATGGCCCTCTTTAAAGTGTGTCTCCTGAATGAAAACTACCTGTGACTTTTGACTGTGGAAGTGACGTAAGGCATGCGAGCGTTTTTCGGGTATGTTCATGCCTTTAGCGTTGATGGAGAAGAATTTAATCTCCGCTTGTTTGTGTGTGTTGTGGCGCGGCATGGTTGCTACGGTTCAAGAGAATCAGGGTATGGTGGGGAGGGTTAGGGAGTATGGGTGGGTGCTAGAGGATTTAGCTTACTCCTCAAGTGCGGGTCTGAGGTCGTGGGCGCGTCCCCTGTCCCCCTGGGTCCGCAGGCAGGCGCGGCTTTCAACAATTAGTAACAAATGTAACAGTAGTAGTAATAGACAACAATAAACCTCGTGGGTTTTCCAAAAAAGACTAGGGTGTGGGCTAGGTAGGAGTCAACTGTGCAGCACCTGTCGGCACCGTTGAGTCCTCCCGCTGGTATCCTGGTGCCCCTGTCTACTGGGAACGTGGCCCTCTTACTCCCTCACCCCGTAGGGCCAAGAGTGGTGGATCCTTCTCCTTTCTGGGTCTCCAGTGTCCCCCGGCCCCCTCTGCTCAGAAGCTATATAGTCAGTACAGGTGGTGCTGGCAGCCCCTGGGCCCAGCCCATCCCGGCCCTTTCCCTATCTCCCAGGTGTGTGTTCGAGTGTATGGTCGTTGGGTCGGCTCTACCCTACTAGTCTCTCCCCTGTTCCCCTAGCTCCACGTTACAGGGTGGTGAGTTAAGTTGCCGTGTTGTGGCTTGTAAGTTGGTGGCTTTAAGGTATATAACCAGCTGGTCTTACACTTCCCATTTCGTGTCCCTCCCCTTATCGTGGTGTTCTGGGGGTCCGGTTGGGATTGTCCCGTCTGGCGAGTGGTCGCGGTTGGGGGCCTGTTACTTCTCACAGTGTTAGCCCTCCCGGTCAACCTCTGCTCCCTCTCCCTCTGGAGCGAGCCTTTATCCAACCTCAGCGTCCCCTTTCCCATTTCCCCCCACCCAAGCGGGAGAGGAAAAAAAAAAACCCACAAAGGAAGGGCAAAACCACCCCATACACAATCCCCCCCAGATATATACAGAGTCCCCAGTTTTTCTTTCGTGGGTTCATCGATTGTGCTGGCAAAATGTCTCGTATACCCACTTCTGATGGTCCCCCCAGCCTCCCCTGACACCTGGGTTTCTAAGTGTTGTAACGGCTAAGTGTGTGGCCCGTGTGTGTTATAGGCCTATGTACAGAGTGTCCCAGTGCATAGTTACGAGTTCCATGCGTGGCTCCTGTCTCGTATGTCCGTTAGCGTGTTGCCCCTGCTGGCCTCACGGTCTCCAGTCTTGTTCGGTGTCTGCGCTGTGTCGGTACAGGTTCTCCCTGGAGTGTAGGTGGGCTATTGTAAAAATCCAGCGGATCCGGCCAAGTCAGGTTAAGGGGTGGCAAGTGGAGATCTTCTGACAGTTCATGCAAATTCCCGTGGGGTGCGGATCAATCTAGGGCCGTTTTGGGTGGTGGCAATCAGGCCCGTCGGGAATGTCCAGCGGTATCGTATTTTCTGGGCCACTAGCATTCTGGTGAGCGGTTTTAGTGCCCTGCGATATCCCAAAGTAGCTGGGCATAGGTCCGGGTACAGTTGGAGGTGTTGGCCTTCATGAGTGATTTCTCCCCTGTTGCGTGCTGCATGCAGAATTTCCTCCTTCAAGGCGTAAAGCGCTAGACAGCAGATCACGTCCCTAGGTGGTGCCTCTGGTGGGCCCCTGGGTCTCAGTGCTCTATGGGCTCTGATGAACTCTATGGGGGTCTCTCTAGGGCGGCTCAGGAGCTCATTGAAGATGGCGGTGAGTGTGACTTTAAGGTGGGCGGGTGAGTCTTCACCTTCTTGTAGGCCTCTTACTCGTAGGTTCTGTCTGCAGCCCCTATTGTCTAGGTCCTCTACATGTCTGGCCATGGCTTGCATTTGGGCAGTTTGCTTAGAGTAGTTTGTGTCGCAGTGAGGGCGTAGTGGTCTGCCTCTATTTGGGCCATGCGGTCTGCCATCCCCTGGATGTCGGCCCTCATCAGCTGCAGGTCTGTCTTGATGGAGGTCTGAGGTGGCTTGGGTGAGGTCAGCCCGTGTGGGTAGTGCCCTTAGCAGGGCCATCCAGTCTGCAGGGGGGTTTCCCCTATGTCCTCCCGGCCTGGGGAGAGGGAGTGTGGCGTGGAGGCCTCTGATGGCGGGTAGGCCTCAGATGACGCCTGGGAGAACGGGTCCGGTGTCGCGGACAAGAACTGCCGCATGGAGGGGTTTTGGCTCACCTGGCGGGTCCCCGATGGTCTGGGGGTGTTCCCCGCCTTGGTGTGCTTCCCCATCCTCGTGTCTGTAGCCGGTGACTTGTGCGTGGCTGAGTGGGGCCGGAGGAGCTCGGTCTCTATGCGGCCATTTCGTTCCGCCGCTAGGCCACGCCCTGAGGATGAATTTTTAGTATGAATCACCTTATGTAAGTTAAGACCTGAACTCCATCTGAAACATTTCCCACATTCAGAACAAGAAAATGGTTTCTCAGCTGAATGAGTCATCATATGCTTCTTGAGAGTTGACATTTGAGAAAATTGTTTCCCACATTAACGACAGTAAAACTGTTTCTCTCCTGTGTGAATCCTCTGATGATTCTTAAGAGTTGACTTGCGAGCAAAACATTTCTTGCATTCAGAACAAGAAAATGGTTTGCTTCCTGTGTGAATCCTCTGATGTGTCTTAAGAGTTGACTTGCGAGTAAAACATTTCTCGCATTCAGAACAAGAAAATGGTTTGCTTCCTGTGTGACTCTTTTGATGAGTGTTAAGAGTTGAAATATCAGTAAAACATTTCCCACATTCAGAACAAGAAAATGGTTTGTCTCCTGAGTGCATCTTCTGATGTGTCTTAAGAGTTGACTTGCAAGCAAAACATTTCTTGCATTCAGAACAGGAAAATGGTTTCTCTCCCGTGTGAATCTTTTGATGAGTCTTAAGAGTTGAAGTATTAATGAAACATTTCCCACATTGTAAACATGAAAATGGTTTTTCTCCTGTATGAATCCTCATATGTTTCTTAAGAGCTGACATTTGAGCAAAGGGTTTACCACATTCAGAACATGAAAATGGTTTTTCTCCTGTGTGAAACCTCATATGTTTCTTAAGAGCTGACGTTTGAGCAAAGCGTTTCCCACATTCAGAACATGAAAATGGTTTTTCTCCAGTGTGAAACCTCAAATGTCTCCTAAGATCAGTCATTTGAGCAAAGTGTTTCCCACATTCTGAACATGAAAAGGGTTTTTCTCCTGTGTGAACCTTCTGATGATGCCTAAGATTTGAAGGGTCAGTAAAACATTTCCCACATTCTAAACATGAAAATGGTTTCTCTCCTGTGTGAATCCTCATATGTATCTTAAGATGAGACATTTTAGCAAAACATTTCCCACATTCAGAACAAGAAATTATATTCTCTTTGGGAGCGCTCTCACGTGTAATAAAATGTGGTTCCTGCTTAAAACACTCATGTCCAATGGAAGGTGTATTTCCTTTCTTGACACTCTTCTGTTTAACAAACTCTGCATTGGTAGATGAAACCTTAGCACCATCAACACAGTTACTATTTCCTTTGTTTTGTGTTTCAGTATGATGAGTGGGGGTAAGAAGGTCTAAGATGGTGAGATTTACATCTTGATATGAAGCGGATTCTTCCTTAACAGGAGCAGATAGATACTCTGTCTGTGTGTATTCTCTGGGTGTATAAATGTCAGAGTCTCTGCGATTTCCTTGCTTGTGTGATGCGGATTCATTACTTGATGTATAGTCCATCTGTTTATCTTCTGTGGGTGTATAAACCTCAGAGCTGGTGAGGGTGCTGGCTTCACGTGATGCAGATTCTTCCTTAATAAGGTTAGGGAAATATTCTGTCTCTGTATGGTTTGTGACTGTATAAATATTGCTTATGAGAATTTGTTTTTCATTTGATGCCAATTCACACTTTGATGTATAGTCCATTTGTATATCTCCATTGATTGTATAAATGGCAGATTCAACAACATTTGTTTCTTCAAATGAGACCGATTCCTCCTTGATATAAGTCGATGGATATTCTATCTGTGCATCTTCTGCGGGTGTATAAATGTCTGTGTCCTGGAGATTTCCTTCGTCACACGAGTCTGATTCCTCCTTAATATGAGTGGATGGATCTTCAGTCTGTATATGTTCTATGGGCATATTAATGTCTCTGAGATTAACTACCTCGGATTCTGTAGTTTCATGACTCAAAGATTTACCGCTTGGTGTACTGACTGCCATGCAGTTTATTTTTTGATGACTTGTGATTTCGTTATCTTTGGTTACAAATTCCAGAGAAGAAACTGAAGTGTACAATCCACTGATTTCATTTCTGTTCATGGAACCATCTACTGGAAAGAAAACACTTAAAATTAGAACATTTTCTTAATTGCAGTGGACTTACCAGGCTAGCTATAGATGTCTCAGATGGTTACTTAAGCAGTGATCTCTCTTCCTGTTTTGTTTTATTTATACTATTTTACTGAGACAATATAATGCATCACATTATAATGTGATAATCAGAATTATAATGCATTGTGAATGAAAAGCAGGTACAATAACATGCAATAAGGACATTACATATGTGTTATTTAACTGTGGCTTTATAATCTAAGACTGGATATAAAGAAAAGGGTACTGCATATGTGGTCTACACTGGAAAAAAAGATAAGTATAATGAATTTTATTGCAGGTGGGGTGCCGTACAATTTAAATAGGATCTAGAGCATCCATGACGGAATACATAGGACATCCATGATGGAAAAATACTGTCATAAAGGTTAAGGAATAATAAAAGTTGTCATTGTTATCCCAGGTCCTGTTTCTGTAACGGGTTGTTATGTTTTGCCCTCCACTTGTGTTTTATTATATCAACTGATAGACTTATATAAACTGAAGATTTAAGCATAGCCCTGGATTATGCAGAGGCACAGGTTAGATATGTAACGGAATCCTCCATTACATTGGTACTTGGAGAGGACCACAGGTCGGCCTCCTTCCCACTGACTATGGGCCCTGGTTTGGGGAGGCAGGTACCTTTGGGCCATTTGGACTACTTCCCCCCTGGTTTAGGTTTTCAATTTGGGATATCCTCGTTTTAAAAAGTGATTCTTTCAGGCTATCCATTGCCCTCTGTTGGTGGAAATTGGAAAATTCATTGATTTGTAGAATTACAACATGCAAATTAGGAAAGTGCAAACAATATTTTTTTTTGTCTTCCCCCCGTAACTATATATTTGAGAAATTATTATGTTGCTTGTTCTTCACTTTATGCATGTTTATATTTTTATGGTTGTCATTACATGTTTAAGGACAACTTCCCAAAGGCTATCTGTTCAAAATAATTATTGTATGCTAGTACTAAAAGGAATGGAGTGTCCCGTGTGGATTTTTAGGGATTCCAGTAATAGAGTCTTCAGACCTGTTTGTTGGCAGCACGGTACCTCTAGCCTGGGGACAAGTAAAAAAAAAAGAACTAGACCTAAAGACCGCAAGTGTCAAGTCAGGAGCTATCACAATAAGCAGTGCTGTTGATAACAGCATGTGGAACTGAAGAGGCAGAGAGGACAATACCTGCCTGGAAGTCTGGTCATGTGGAGGAGAGCTCAATCAAGCTTCAGCAACAGGGGCTGAAACGTTCCAGGGTCTCCTGCGGCAGCTAGGAAGTGTGGCAGAACAGACCTCGCCACGTGTTTTTGGAGGGGGCTGCTTGACCGCCTCCTACCATCTGACTATGGCCCTGGGATAAATGGCATTTGAAAACACTATTTGTGCCCTGTGAAAAAACTGGAGATTGTGTACAAATATGACTATTGTCCATATTTTATATGATTCCCTTCATTTATTGCACTGTTCCCCTGACTACCAGACAAACTGTGGAGTTACTGGGTGGCCACCATTTAATGTATCAGAGGCACATGGTGAGAACAATGGATGGCGGCCATTTTAACTCGCAGACACGGTGTTTGGTCTTTTCTATACGGTGCCATCTCGCCAGTATTTGGTTCACAAAGACATTGTGCAGTAGTTTTAAACTATACAACAGGGGACACATTATACAGTAATTATTTTTCATATAGCTATGAAAAATTATTTTTCATATATGTTCTGCAGAATCTGCATTAAACTGTATCTTCCAAACTACTGAACGTATCTGGGTGAATTTTGGATATGTGGTTCACCCAGATCCCCCGGTTCCGAGGATATACTTTTATGGGGTTATTGCAGGTTTTGGGGTCCCTGTGATAAGTTTTATAATACTGTATTGCTCTGCCTGTGATAATTATATTACCCATTGTGTTCAGTAATCATATCACAGGCAGAGGGGAGGATTTTGTGTGGGAGTGTCTGTGTGTATTGTACGGATTGATTGGTTGCATTTCAAAACCCTGTGGGCAGTACGATGTTTGTGGATTGTGAATAAAAGAGGCTGTACGTGCCAGTACAGTCAGTTCTGCTTGACCTCAAAACGAAGTGTCGTCTCGTTATTGGGGGAATTGGATTGTATGCTGATTGCCAGGAGTGTAAGCTGATTGTATGCTTTTCCTGTTCAGCTGTTTACAGCATTTATATGCTTGAAAGCATTCATATGCTTCTACGGTTCGGTGGTTGTGGTGTATTCTGCAGTGCTTGGAGTCCTCAGGAAGCGCTAGGAGCCTCCTTCAACGGAGGTACCCAGTCCGGGTGCCAGGTGATCCGTTACAGGAAGCAAACCTGGCAAAGGTACTCTGTCAGAGTAGGGGAGCTCCAGCTCAAGATAAATTTGAAGCAGAACCCCAGTTCGACCTATGAAGGAAGGTACATGAAAAGTTGTGACCCTATTTGTATGTTACATTTTATGTTTTATAGGGTCACAACCTTTCATGTACCTTCGTGCTTCGAACTGGGTTTCTGCTTCAAATGTATCTAACCTGTGCGTCTGCATGATCCAGAGCTATGCTTTAGTTGTCCCACTGTTTATTTTCTATAATTTTGCAGCCTGTAAATACTTTTGTTCCCTTTTTTGAACTTCTAAATTAATGTTATGATATTAAATGAATGATTTATGATATAAACTAAAGCTAATGAGGTTAATGCTTTAGAGGCACCACTAGGGGCAGTGTGTAGGCCATTCTATGGTTTCCTCAAGCCATGTGCTTCTGGCAGTGACGTCACAGGCCAGCCTACTTTAGGAATACAATGAATAAAAACCAGATGTAGGAGGGATTCGGTTTCTCTTCTGCTCTCCCCATGACTGCCTAAGAATGTAGTAGCGGAATTTTTAGCGCCAGCCCCACAGGCCGGAGCCTGTGAAGGTTTGTTCATGTTCTGTATTGTGCACAGAATGTTATAGTGAATGCTCTATTACCATGGGCTAGTTTGGTGAGGCATGCAGTTTTACAAAAAGAGGGTGTTAGCAGTGAAAAACCTGTTTCCCCCACAAAAAGGATTTTAATGCTGTGTTATATGCTTCTTAACAAAATGCAAAATGTGCAAAACAGAGAAACAAGAAAGTACAATCACATGTAAAGTACTGCATGCATAACAATAGAGTGCTCTAGACATACGGTGCTAACACCATAAACCCATTCAATATCTATAAGGTATACTGACCTAGAGCAGGAGACATGGCAGAGAAAATAGCCCTATTTGAATTACGTGAGAATATGTCCCTGACAACCAAGCTGGCTGATAAAGACTGGGCCTTGGTTGTCATGGACACAAAGGATTAGGACTTGGAAGTTACCAGACAACCATCAGATGTACAAACCTATTGCAAATGATTTAATAATTCCATGGATGAAATTGCTCAGGAATTTGGCAGGACCGTAGAGGAGGCAGCGGAACAGGGGATCATTGATAGAGATTTGAAGAAATTGTTAATTAAGTAAAATCCCATCATTCTGTTTTATGTGTTACCCAAAATACACAAAGAATTGTGTAACACAGAGGACTGATAGGTAACGTATACCAGACCTTAGAATGGCCAGCCTAACGTACCTAAGAACAGTCAGGAATAGCCAAGGTCAAGGTATACAGAAAGAGACACAACGATAAGGAAAAGCCAGGCGTCAGGGATGCCAGAAAAAAAAAAAAGTCAAAATCAATGCCAAAGTCAAAATACCAGAATAACCAGAATCAATAACGCGCTCACGCGACAGGGCACTGAGCAAGAGGAGAACTGGGCCTAAATAACCCACCCGTGGATCTGATTGGTTGTAACTGGCATTTGACTCCAAAGGCAGTTAGCAGGTTCCTATTTGCATGATTGCTGCTCAGCACAAACCCTCCTGTGGATTGATTGCTGCTCGGCACAACTTTTCCTGTCAGGAAAGTAATGTTGCTCGGCACAACTTTTCCTGTCAGAACAGTAAATGCCATTAATCACATTTTTATGTGCTGCTGAATACGTGACACTGGTAATGAGTCAATCTTCCAACCATTCTCTATTTTTTTTAAGATTCCTTGTTACAACCATGTGTTCTGAACACCCGGTCCTATATTAGGCACACAACAGATTTCCTAATGAAACTACGTGATTTTGGTGAACCACAGAGTGTCACCTTTTTGTGTTCGATGGACGTGAGCAGCCTGTACACCTCCATCTCACATGATTGGGGTGTCCAGGCTGCCAGGTGTCACAACTGGAGTTTGCAACTGACCTATTGAGGATTGTCTTACATCAGAATTATTTCTTGAATAAGAACAGGTTTTTCCAATGTGGCCCCATCATATGCCAACCTCTACATGGCCTGTTTTGAGGAGGATCTTGTATATGTACCTCCCCTTTTTAGTTTTGTTAAAGGGACACTATATAGTCACCCAGACCAATTCGGCTCAATGAAGTGGTCTGGGTGCCAGGTCCCTCAGGTTTTAACTTTTCAGATGTAAAAATAGCAGAGAAACTGCTATGTTTACATTTGGGGTTAATCCAGCCTCTAGTGGCTGTCTTTCGGACAGCCACTAGAGGCGCATCTGCAACGCTGGGGGCATATTTCGCCTCCATCACTCAGAGCGTCCATAGGAAAGCATTGAGAAATGCTTTCCAATGGACACTTTGACTGTGCATGCGTGAACTTTTTGCGCATGCGCATTCCACTCCTCTGACGTCCGACGGGGGGGCTGACGTCGGCGGAGGAGGAGAGGTCACCAGCGCCGAGAGAGCCCGGTGCTGGATTAAAGTAAGCTGCTCAAGGGGTTTTAACCCCTTCAGCGCCACGGGAGATTTCTTTCTATGGAGTAGACCTATGAAAAGACTATTG